ATTCCACACTGGCTTTATGAAGGGGGTAGGGGTGTCCAGAAGGATCCACTAAAAAATAGAATTCCATGCAGAACGATCATATTTTAGGCACAGTACAACATTTTCCCACCAGATGGAAACTGTAATTATGCTTCTTCCGGGTTTCTCAATACAGTTGCACCTACTGGCGAAATCTGGTACTGCAGCACATCTCCATTGAAAATACAGTATATCCATGGTGTTGTATTTTGCAAACGTATTACTAACCTTTTTATCCAGGAGACACCCAAATAGTAGAAGGAAAAAGCCCTAAGGAATACAAATAATAACACTGTATTATTATGTTATGTTACATTACATTGTATGAGTTGACATTTTCCTATATTTGGCACACTGTCTTTCGAAAAAAATTTTAAGCACCTGGCTAAATAAAATGTGGGAGCTGTCAGTGGTGGGCTTCACTATTTTATGGGTTAATGATCTGAAAAAAATGTAACTAGTAAAAGGGAGGGCAAAACAAGAAGTAGCGCTTAGACCTGTTAGTAGGTACCGCCACATGCCTTGGAATTGTTGTAACAGTCAATGGTCAGATGCACCTTACTGTAGGTCTGATCCTCACACTGAAGTTTGGCTGATGGACCAAGAAGCATATAAAAAGCATTTGGTGGGATTTGTTAGGGGCACCACCACTGACCCTACCCCCTCCCATTTCTTTGCTGAAGTTTTCTTTAAAGTCAGATTTACACTACGCTTTCTGTTAATGCAGTACATGTATGTGCATTACGGCACATTGCTTTAGGCAGACATCTATGACTTGGATAGAATCTGTAGGGCCTGTCCTGTAACATTATACATATTTAAATGACAAAAGCAAACCTTTCTGGATGATTACCTGTAGGGGGTTGAGCAAGGCAAATAGGTAGTGCAAAAAAACAGTCTTTGGGTATATGTACAATGGGATCCCAAGAGCCCAAGTCAATCCAAACTGTGGGGTGCAGAACAAAACCGCTTTCACCAGCTTCCCAACCACCTCGTCATCCTCGCTTTTCCCCTTAGAGACTGACGACTTCAAGATTATTGCAATCACAACCACCATGATGAGAATATTTCCACCCATAATTATAATGGCAGGGATGGCGAACAGCAGAAAGGCACCATGTTTGTTATCCAACCAGCAGGCATGGCTCATCAGGTACCTATTAGGATAATACACCACAAAAGTGCCCCCGGCTATAGCAATTGGACAGCCATATCCAAGTATGACAGAAAGGTACAAAAATTCTCTTTTGGTAATGTGATGGAAGACGAAGAGTAACCGGCACACCAAGAATAGGCCCTGCACCAACGTCCAGGAAAAGAAGGCCAACAATGAAAAATGAGTAACGAACGAGTACTTTGCACAAAAAACGATGTGATGCGATGTCAAAGAGGCTGGACGCCAAGAAAAAGACATTGCTGATTAGCAGAAACACAGCTATATGAATAATGCAAATGTGTCTGTACAAAGCAACCGAGCTCTTGGATTGTTTCAGAAGAAAGACTTCTATGGCGATGCAATTGATAAGAGACCCTATGGAGATAGGAAGCAGAATCTTCGTGAGAGTATCCAAGAACACAGGGTTCTGGTTTTCTTCTGGTATATAGCCCGCCATAAGAACTGAGAAGGAGGTCAGGTGATTACAGGCACAGGAGGTACTGCCATTGATAACTGTAGTATTACAACCCTCCGATGACCATTTGTTTGTACTTAAATTCCAAAACGCGCATAGTGCAGATTCATTACACGTGTTGTTGTTACATGTGAAGTCCATATAAATATTCAGAGAGTGGTCACCCATGTTATCTACTATGGCCACATTGGTCCATATAGAACTGGCCAATGAATAAGACAGGCCATCAGAACTGTCATACGAGATGTTAAAGCTGCCAGGTTTTGGTGAATAGATCATGGATAGTATATTAATGACATTCCCAGAAGACTTATTACTGTTCTCCATCGACAGGAACACAGTGGCCCCAGACAAAAGCTCTAGATAGGTATCCTCCTTGAGGTCATCAGGACTGAAGACAGTACAGGAAAAGTCAATACCATTAGATAAAATTTGGAAGGGCTCAGATGTAACCTTCATTGCTGGAAAGATGTTCTCAATGCTTTGTATCAACTGTACGTTTAGATCTGGCGTGCCTACGTAGTCTATCATATGAGTGATAATGGTAACAGTTTGCTGCAAGAAAATAAAGTTAATCATAAATGTTCAGCATTCTTTAAGAATAGAATTTCTAAGCTTTTAAAACTGTTTATACATAAATAGATAGAGTATCATCAATTTATCATCTCACCTCAAAACAATTAAAATATTAAAGTATATCAGAAGCCCAAACTAGTTTCTGCCATTTGTGTCTCAAAGGGCAGATTGACTGCCACTTCCTGTCCTGTAGACATATCTACTGGACAGCAAATATCTTCAAAGTCAGGTTGAATCCCCATGGGAAGATTTCCCCTCAATTTCAGTTCTGGTGACAACTGAAAATTTTGGAATTTTTTCTTTCAGTCCTGGTGATAATGGTAGGCAGGACATATAGAGAGGGTGATTCTCCCCAGTGGGGACACAGTCATAAATAGAAACCTTCAAAACCTTAACTGCGTATTTCACAAATAAATTTCCAATAGCAAATAAAAATGATATCACAATCGAAGACATGCAAGTCCTAAAGAAATTATATAGTCCCAATTGGTGCAAAAAAGTGCCCGTGCTCTGATATTAATATGGTGCTCTACTTGACAGTGCTGTTGTGCCCCACATGGAGTTTCAATCACCCTATGTCGGTGACCAACTATCACTAGTGTGGTCAACAGCGCTTTAGGTGTAAAACCTTTATGCAATCCGCCCCATTGTATTTATCAGAAAAATGAATAGGCACAAACTTCCTCACACACACTCCTCTTGTGGAAAGCATTCCCAGAAGAGTGAAGGTTGGTGCAGCCATAAAGGGAAGGAAGAAGGCAACTCAATATAAATACCCATGGTTTGGGAATGGGATGTCCAACAAGCTCATATAGATGTGATGGGCAGGTGTCTAAAATCTTTTGGCCTTATAGTAGATAGTATATAATGTGAGAACATTATCGTCCTAAAGTGCAATCCTAGTATTACACCTAAAAAAAGATATTTGCATACTACATGACATACTACCATCAGTTGCAATTGGCCGCTAGGGCCGAACACAGTCACATGGGGATTGATTTATTAAAATTGTAGAGTGCAACCCCATGGGAGGAGTTCACATTCTATTCAATGCTGCAATTGGAGAGGTGGCAGAAGGAGAGAGCACTTGGAAAGGTGTGAACATGGTTCAGAAGGGCAGTATTTTCAATATGAAGCTAAGATCAAGAGCACAACCTCTAATTAGCAGGAGAAATATTCAAAACTAACTTTAGAAAATATTTTTGTACCAAAAGAGTAGCATGCTTGTGCAGCACCTCTGGTGTGTATAGTTAGGTACATTTAGTTTGGCTCACAAGTGGGGTTCAAGCTCAGGTCAGGCTGGAGGGCTCTGAAGGTCAGGCCTCATCACCTCTCCCTGGTTCTGGAAGTTTCCAGAAACTTCTAGAAGCTAGTGGGCGGGGGGTACAGGGATCTGAATATTCATGGAATTTTTACCAATCCCCTGGCAGGAGAGTAAGATGTGCCCATAAATAATGAAGAGCTTGACCAGTGGGGTTTGTTGCAGGTTGGAGTATGGAGTGCTGATTCGAAGATCGTGAGGCCTGGAGGGGACCCAAGGGCTGGGGGCTCTGCCTTCAGGCAGTAGCTAAGGAAGGAAGGAAAGGAGCAGTTTAATTAGAGAGATCTTCACCACCCTTCAGTCTCATCCAGGAGACACCCTGTGTTGCAAGGACCTGTACAGCAGGAGGCCAGAACAATAGTCTATGCCAAGCAGTAGGATTTCCAGGGACAGTGTGAGTGCCTCTACCAGGGGTGCACTGACAACTCATGGGGCCCCCCGGGCAATAGGGGATCATGGGGCCCCTGTGTCCTTGCCCAAACTCAAAAAAAGGTATGAAAAAGGTACCAGGGACATCTCATGGGGCCCCCTACTGACCCCGGGCCCTCGGGCGATGCCCGAGTTTCCAAATGGTTAGTCCGCCTCTGGCCTCTACTTACCATATCCTGAGCCAACAAAGGGAGAAGGCAGCAGGATGCAATATTTAGCTAGCCTAAAAAGGGACAGTGCCACAACTTACCTTAAACCCTCCTTTGCTCAGGGATTAACTCGTAGAAGCCGTATTCCCTCTAAGGCAGTGGTTCTCAACCTTTCTAATGCCGCGACCCCTTAATACAGTTCCTCATGTTGTGGTGACCCCCAACCATAAAATTATTTTCGTTGCTACTTCATAACTGTAATTTTGCAGTGGGAGGACTAGCGCCCCATCACTGATGTCAGTGGGATGAATAGCGCCCCATCGTTGGCGTCAGTGGGGGGAGGAATAGTGCCCCATCGTTGGCGTCAGCGGGGGGGAGGAATAGTGCCCCATCGTTGGCGTCAGTGGGGGGAGGAATAGTGCCCCATCGTTGGCGTCAGTGGGGGGAGGAATAGTGCCCCATCGTTGGCGTCAGTGGGGGGGGAGGAATAGTGCCCCATCGTTGGCGTCAGTGGGGGGAGGAATAGTGCCCCATCGTTGGCGTCAGTGGGGGGAGGAATAGTGCCCCATCGTTGGCGTCAGTGGGGGGAGGAATAGTGCCCCATCGTTGGCGTCAGTGGGGGGAGGAATAGTGCCCCATCGTTGGCGTCAGTGGGGGGAGGAATAGTGCCCCATCGTTGGTGTCAGTGGGGGGAGGAATAGTGCCCCATCGTTGGTGTCAGTGGGGGGAGGAATAGTGCCCCATCGTTGGCGTCAGTGGGGGGAGGAATAGTGCCCCATCGTTGGCGTCAGTGGGGGGAGGAATAGTGCCCCATCGTTGGCGTCAGTGGGGGGAGGAATAGTGCCCCATCGTTGGCGTCAGTGGGGGGAGGAATAGTGCCCCATCGTTGGGTCAGTGGGGGGAGGAATAGTGCCCCATCGTTGGTGTCAGTGGGGAGGGAATAGTGCCCCATCGTTGGTGTCAGTGGGGGGAGGAATAGTGCCCCATCGTTGGTGTCAGTGGGGGAGGAATAGTGCCCCATCGTTGGTGTCAGTGAGGGGAGGAATAGTGCCCATCGTTGGTGTCAGTGGGGGGAGGAATAGTGCCCCATCGTTGGTGTCAGTGGGGGGAGGAATAGTGCCCATCGTTGGTGTCAGTGGGAGGAATAGTGCACCATCGTTGGTGTCAGTGGGGGGAGGAATAGTGCCCCATCGTTGGTGTCAGGGGGGGAGGAATAGTGCCCCCATCGTTGGTGTCAGTGGGGGGAGGAATAGTGCCATCGTTAGTATTAGTGACACAAATGATGGGGCACTATCCCTTCCACTGACACCAATGATACTTTACCTTGCTGACTCCTGCTCCAGCCTGGGCTCGCTCTCTCCCTCTCCCATCTACAGCCTGCATACCTGGCTGCAGCAGCAAAATTTGCACTTACCTGTCAGCTGTCTTCCTTCTCTGGCCTCTCTCTTCACTCGTTCCTGCAGCTCCCTCAATCTTCTTCGATCTCCGCGCGCTGCCGCTCGGCTCCTCCTCTCCAAGCTCCACCTTCTCGCCGGTGATTGGCCGCCTGTGTGCCTCTCCTGAGCTACAGTTCCGGTGGCCAATCAGCGGCGAGGAGGCGGTGACAGGGGCAGCATATCATCCCGCCCACACATCGCCGGAGACAGCAGCGGTGTCTCGGTTCCTAAGACCATCGGAAATATGTTTTCCGATGGTCTTAGGCGACCCCTGGGAAATGGTCGTTCGACCCCCAAAGGGGTCGCAACCCCCAGGTTGAGAACCGCTGCTCTAAGGGGACATAGAGCTCCTGCATATGATTGAGACTGCTATTTTCCACTACTAAGGGGACATAAAGCTCCTAAAAACAAATGGTACAGTATATTCGCTATTGATCCATTAAGGATTGATATTATTCCAGAGGGAGTACAGTCTAGGATCCATTTCCTGAAAGCTGTGCATAGAAAACTTGTCCTCTAAGTCAGCTTTTTTCAACCAGGGTGCATCCTGGGGTGCCTTGAGTTTTCTTCAGGGGTGCCTTGGCAAAATGTCTAAAAATTGCCCAAAACTTGTATATAAGCTAACGGGTGGAACAAGCCTGCCTTTTAGTGACACAAAGTCACAGGTTTTCATTGTGCACCATTACGACCTTCTAGAAGCCAGTTTCCTGACAACCAATGACATCATTGGTTGATAAGGAGGATGTTGGATGACTGCACAGAACGCTTGTTTGACACTCCCCTGCCCCTATCTTTCAGTGGTGGGGTCACATTAGCTCAGTGATGGAGAAAAACTGGAAGAATAAATAACCTCTATCGTTGGGTGTCCTACATGTGTGGATGTTGCTGCGTTATATATAACTATTAGAATAGTTTTCTACATTTTAGAATGGGGTGCCTCAAGACTGTCCATAATTTTAGAGGGTGCCTTGACTGAAAAAAAAGGTTGAGAAACACTGCTCTAAGTCATTGTTGAACTCAGCTTGGGCATCCCATAACCTCTTATCCCCATCCAGTTTTATATGCCCTCAATAAAACATAAAAAACAAGCCCAAAGACTGGTTATTGACTGTGGATGCAAGCTGAAAAAGGTCATGGTGCCTGGCTGTGCAGGATTAGGGGGACCCAAAAACGGCTCCTGAGGGGTTAGCGCTACACTTGGAACAGACTTCCAGAAGAGGTATGGAGGCAGGAAACAGTAAGTGAATTTGAACATGCCGGGAAAAAATATGTTCTATAAAAAAGAAAAGAAAAAATGGGCAGACTTGATGGATCACTTGGTCGTTTTCTGCCACCACTCTTCTATCTTTCTAGGTTTTTGTACTCTGTTTTTCGTTTGGGCTCAGCTTCCACAGTTCAGGTCCTCTTAGATGACAAGTATCTTCTATTGTAATTAGACATCTTTCTATAACTGGAGTCTTGCTTTAGGCATAAAAAATATACTCACTTTTATCGTTTCCACATCGAACGTGAGATTTGATTGCAAAGCCTTGTCTGTAACATTGCCGATAATACTCAGAACCAACTGTACGTCATAATCACTGTAACCAACCTGGGTGGTATTGGCCATGAGATTGCTAAGAGAATTTATGATATCAGGTCCCGAAGAATTCTGAAGGAACAAAGGAATTCGTATTACACCTTTACACGAATCTTGAAGGATTACAAAAACTGCTACAAATGACAATATTACCTTCTCCTTCTTTTACTGAGTGTCCCAAAATAAAAATATAAAAAAAATATGCAGTTTTGGAAAGTACCCTGAGAGATATTTTGACATTTGAGATGTCCAAAGTGAGAGAAAATTAGGAATGAGTGAAACTGAAAGTTTGTCACTTACCTGAAATTTCAGTAAAAATAGTGAAATTCTGGCCAAGGTTTAACATTTTTGGGCACATCAATGGAAAATTAGGGTAGCTTTTGATTGTTTTTTTAATAGAGTAATGGACTTTAAATATGTCCTATGTGGGTTTTTTTTTACATTTTTTTTCCACAAAAAAAAAATTGCAGATAGTGGGAAAATATATAATATAGAGTAAAGAAAGGAACAGTACATAAACAACAATCAAATACACACAAAAAATATACACTTACCGAGTTGGCTTTTTTCAACACATTATCCAACTTATCAGTCAAATTAAAACCTAATAAAAAAAAGTTCATACAAAAGGGTTTGCAAGATAGTTATTTTCTATAGTTATACACATTTTCTGAAAACAAAAGAAAACATGATAGTCACTATCCGGACCTGAATGTGAAAAAAATGACCCCATTTTTTGCCATTTTTTGGGTGTTTTGCCATGCTTTTTTATGCACATTGAGTGTTTTTGCTTGTCTCTGTACAGCGCTTTTAAGGCATTTTTGAATGTTGGCATTTTTTATTAGCCAATAGAAAAAAATATAAAGTTTCATCTTTTGTTGCTATGTTTTTCTGCTTTTTTCATCAGCTTTCTCTTCTTCATCCTGGTGTTTATTTATTGAAGTATAATGTATTTATTTTTTATTTATTTATGTATTTTTGTTAGGGTTATTTATTTATTTTAGGCAATTAATTTTTTTTATTATTATTTTTTCATTATTAAGAATGGTTATGTATTTATTTATTGATTATTATTTATTTTATTTATTTGTTACATTTGACCAGAAAAACACGAATAAATGCACAACAAAACAAAACCAATCATAAATGCGCAAATCACGCATTTGAATGCATTTCTACGAGGTAAAAATGCTTCAGAAATTCAACAATCTACCTAAATCTAGTTGCAAAACTAGTTCCAAATTTTTTTTTTGAGCTTCAGGCCTTTGGCTTCAGGAAACTTGGAGTGGAAATTTGAACCAGCTCCATAGAGATGCAGTTTCTCTCCTTCAGCACTTTGGAGCTTCGAGCTACAAAACGGTCAGGTGTGAATGGGGACTTAGGATAAAACTCAACTTAAAGATGACTGCCCTAAAGAAGCAGCAAAATCCAATAATCCATATCCATAGTTGCGTAACTAGAACCTTCAGGGCCCCGTGCAGGAAACCATGAAGGGCTCCCTGGCCAGGGCCCTTCCTTATGAGCCCGGTAGTTGAACGCCAGGGTCGGGTGCTGCTGCGACCTTTGTGACCCTGGTAGTTCTATCACTGGTGTCTGTAGTTTCTTTTTATTTTTGTTACTTTATTTTTATTTTTTTTTTACCTTTTTGTAATATATATATTGTTTTTACAATAATTTTTTTAATTATTTTTTACAAATTTTTTTTGAGCCCTGTTGGGGGGCTTTGGTGAGATATCAGGGGTATGGCTTTTGAGACAGAGAAAGGAGATTGAGGACACAGCCCTCAATCTTCTTCTCTGCATCCTCAATTGCTCAGAATGAATGGATAGGAATAGCTCTGTACAGAGCTTCCTGTTCATTCAAAAATGGAAGTATAGTAAACGCAGATTACTGCACTTCAGTCCATTATTCAACCTAGAGGTGTAACTAGAACCTTTACGGCCCAGTGCAAGAAACCATTAAGGGTCCTCCCACGTTGGCGGGTTGGTGGAACGCCAGGGCCTGGTCGTACGTGTGACTTTTGCGACCCTGGTAATTCTGCCACTGTTGTCAATAGTTTTTATTTTTCTGGGGTTTGTTTTATATTATTATTATTTTATTTTTATTTTTTTTTTACCATTTTATTTATTTTACAATGTTATTTTTTATTATTTTTTACAATTTCTTAGGAGCCCCACTGGGAGGGCTTTGGTGAAATATCAGAGGTCTAAACAGACCTCTGATGTTCAACCTTTGAGACAGGGAAAGGAGACTAAGAACACAGCCCTCAATCTCCATCTCTGCAGCCTCAGCTGCACTGAATTAATGGACAGGAATAGCTCTGTACAGAGCTTCCCATTCATTTACAAACTGAAGCATAAGAAACACAGTTTACTATGCCTCAGTTATGAATGAACAGAGTCGGTGATCGGTACGGATCACTGACTATTTATAAAGACAAGGAAGGAGCCATTTACCGGCCCCTTCCCCACTCTCCATCTTGACAGATCCCCTACAGTAGGAGAGGGGAGGGGGGAACTCAGGGATAAGTATGGAGGATAAGTGGGGGGGGAGAACCGATCCCCTCCATTTTCCTCTTGCAGCCACTGAAAAACTGCAGGAGGAAAATGGAGGGGATCGGTTCCTCTATATGCCATCCCTGCCTCCCCTCCTCTCCAGGTGTACATGGGAGCCGCACGGGCCCCCAGGAGCATAGGGCCAGGTCACAATCACAACCCCTGTAAGTATGCCCCTGATTCAACCACCTCAATACCAGCATGTTTCTTCCTTTTCAAAAACGTGGCAAAAATGTGATTACTCTGGAGTGTCTACTACCTTCCAAAAGGGATAGTTTTGGGGATGTTCGTACTGTCCTGGCATCCTGGCATTTGTATTTCATAACTTTTATGACACACAAATCTATCTTTCTACTCCTCACCTCACCCCTTCAGTCTCCTCTTGCATTACTAACCTACTAAGTGACATATCGGCATGGATGTCACTCCACTTCCTCAAACTCAATCTTTCCAAAACTGAGCTCTTAGTATTCCCCCCAGCCCGTGCCCCCTCCCCTGACTTCTCCATCAAGACCAATACGACCATCAGTCCCTACCCTCATGCCAGGGTACTTGGTGTAATCCTAGACTCCCATCTGTCCTTTCAGCCCCAAATCCAATCACTGTCCAAATCATGAAGACTTC